CTTGAGCATGGCGGTTGTTTTATTTCACGTCGAGACGTGTTTCACGACTTCATCCATACTTGTTTTTTTGGCTTTGACTTGTTTCCTTGTCTCTTTTTGCATATCCGTCTGTTCGTTTGAGCAGTCGCGATTGGCTTGTTTCTGTATCTATTTGCACAGCGTAGCGAGCGTTGGGAATTTTCTTTGACGTTACACACGAAGATTGAAGATGGATATGGGTCATGTATCGAACGAGCATGACCAACGATATTGTACATGAAGGCACATGACAGCGAGGACCAACAGATTGCGCATTTTTCTTGTTTTCTATCAAGCTTGTTTTTGTTTGTCTGTCTGTCTGTCTGTCTGTCTGTTTGCAAGCGATGATGATTGACAATACTGTTGCACATGCTCTTCTCTGCACACTCTTGTTCCCTGCACACTTACTTTTCCCTACACACGACGATGACTCTTTTTACCCCCCTCGGATAACACCATGGGGGAACAGGCGGTTTGTTTTCATAATACCCCACCCTTACCGGTCCTTCTTTACCCGAGTATCATGACGATTCGGACCAAGAAAGGAATCCTTTTTTGAAAGATACCACGAGCGGCTTTTTTTCCTCTTTCTTCTTCTTCATCATCATCGTCGTTTTCGTCATCATCATATCATCATCATCAATTTTTTTTATTTAATTAACGCATTTCGTCTGTTTTGGGGGCCGAAACTTTCAACCAGCTGGCACAAATACGGCGGCCGTTTCTGCGACCCGTGGTCACAGCGGATATGTGTTTGCCAGGCTTCATTGGTCGGCAGTGAGGCCGGGATCTTTCCTTGACACTCTTTGTTCCCATCACCTTTTGTACCTTGGGCTCATTTCCACGCCATGCCATGCCATGCCATTCCTTCCCCCCCCCCCCTCGCTCCATCGCCCGATGATGATGATCCCTCTTTTTTTTGGTGATTCGATTGGAGAGCTTGCTCATTACTTGACTTGATCGAGTCAGTTTACAGTCTTCCCTTTGCCACTTTGAGTCTATCGTCGTCGTGTATGGTCTTGACTCTTGCCCGTTTGTTCTTTCTCCGTGGCCCACCCTCCATTCCATCCATCCAACCAACCATTGAGCTGTGTGTATGTGTGTGGTTTTTTTTTAAAAAAAAACTCAGCGCTTACCTCGCTGTGATTTGTGATTGTGCGCACCCCTCCCACAGTACCCTCCCCACGCTACACCACACTACCCGTGTCTGTGTCTGTGTCCATGTCTGTGTCCGTGTCTGTGTCCGTGTCCGTGTCCGTGTCCGTGTCCCTTCATGCATCAACTGGCTCTGGCACTGGCACTGGCACTGGCTCTACGTAGGCATACCGACGTCGTCCCACAGCTCCTCTTCTCGGCTCAACACCCGAAAGAACGAGAATGAGAAACGAGGCATCTTACGATAATAGGGATAGGAAGTGGGGAAAAAAAAACAGGGTCGGAACCCTTTGTGCGCCTTGTGTGCTGTGCTGTACTTGTGGTGTGTGTGTGTGTGTATGTGTGTGTTGTACTGGCTGTGTGTGTGTCGTGATGCGAAACTAACCAACTAACCAACTGGGTCTGTCTAACGAGTTCTCTTCCGTTCTCTCTCTCCGTGTGTGTGTGTGTGTACTGTATCTGCCGTCCCTCCCTCCATCTTACACCCATCCTCACCCCCCCACATTCACTTACTTACTTACTTACTCACTCACTTACTCCCCCTCAAATACCTAATTGGCTAAATCCTTTACCTTGGCTAAACATTCTCCCTTCTATATACATACATACATACATACATACATACATACATACATACATACATACATACATACATACATACACCGAAGATTCCCCCGACGCAAGACAAAGGAAAGTCCTCCCCCCCCCACCAAAAAAGGGCCACATGCAAACGCACGGGTCGATCCTTTTTTTTTTGCTCGGAGGGAGGGAGGGGGCAAGTGGAATGGCCGAGGCGGGGGCAAAAGTTAGTTGGTTAGCTGGTGTGAAGTGGGGGGGTAGAGGTGGGGTGGGGTGAGCAGCGGAGGGTCAGATGGGTGTACTGGGACGGATGCAACGGAGACGGAGACGGGGGGGGGATAGCATGGAGTGGGATGGGGGAAACCCAAAAAAAGGCGGTTAGCATTTTCAATCGCATAGTTTTGTATCGTGTGTTGTTCTGTATGTTAGTCTGGTGTTAGTCTGGTGTCGGTGTTGGTGTTGCGTGTTGCGTGTTGCGTGGTGCTATTGTGTGTTGTGGTATCGTGGTTAGTAGTTAGTGGTGTTGGTGTCGCGTGAAAAGGCTGGGTGTTGTGTTGTATGTGGGAAACGGGAACGCGGCTTTGTAGTAGAACAACAACAACAACAACCACAATAACAACACATACTTGGAACACTTTGGACGTACGCGCACACACGTACGCATAGAGAAAAGTAGGTTAAGTAGGTAAAGGTAGTAGGTGAATTCAATTCATGAATGTATCTGTATTATGCATTATTATCTATCTGCTTTGTTTAAAGCGTGTGGTTCGTGTCGCTTTTTTTTCTTCTCTCGCTCTTTTTTTAATTCGCATTCGCATTTTGACTAGTATAGAGAAGAAAGAAAAAAAAGGCTTAGATGAATGGTAATATTACATGAATGATAATATTAAATGAATGATAATACTAATAATGGACGAGAAATAAGGACAATGGACAAGCTATCCTAGCTATACCACCCCCCCCCCCATTACCTAAGAATCCCCATGACCACACGGAAGAACAAACAAGGACCTAGCTCGCTCGCTCGTGTGATCGCTCGTTAAGCGATTCTGCCGCGGCTTGCCCTCTGCGTTTCCTTGTTTGTCCTTGTCGTCGCCTCTGCGGCGGATGCAGCATGCAGTATGCAGATGCGGATACACGGATGCATACATGGACTAGAGTAATAACATGTTGATTGCCGCGTCTTGCATGCTTTTCTTTTTGCCCGTGCCCATGCCCGTGCTCATTTTGCCACCATGTATGTATCGATGGATGTACATAACACATGGGTGGTACGGGTACGGGTACGGGTACGGGTGGGCGGTAGTGCCATCAGCTAGCCAGCCATGCTTGGTGCTGGTGCTGGTGCTGGTGTTGGGGCTGGGGGCGCTGCAGCTGAGCAGGGCTGGAGCCGCTTGTCGCGTATCCGAAGAAATTTCCCACACTGTTGGCATGCTACGGCGAGAGGTAGTTGGTTTGAGAGCCACGGCAGCTGTGGCATCATCTTCTTGGTTATCGGGCCATGGATGGACGCGTCTGTGTTTTAGGTGTTGGTCTTGCAAGCGCATGAGGAGCATGGCGATAACGTTGACGAGTGAGGCGCAGCACCGAGATGGAGAGATGAAAAGCTGCTATTGGCTTGTGCACTTTGGCACGAGGGGGGATTTTCTCTCGTGCAGCCCTCTCCCAGCCAGTCATTTGGTTTTTGCATCTTGGCGAGGTGGTTTGAGGGTTGATTTCTCCGTGACATGAGAGCGGGTGAGTGGGTGAGGGAGACTTTGGTACCGCGGACCATGGAATCGCAGAGAAGTCTGCACGCTGCAAAAGGATACCGGGATTTCCTTGTAGGTGTAGGCCATGAGTAGAGCCCGCCCCCACACAGCCTCTTGTTACGTCACAAAAGACATGGCGCATCTGCCCATTTCCTCATGACTAAGAAAACAAGGGGGTATCTTCAGACCCAGCAAGGAGGTAGAGAGTCTTGCATACTGCGCCGTTGACCTGCTCGCTCAGGAAGAGCTGCGTGGAAGGGCTGAGTGGGGCTGCAGCACGACAACAACGACAACAACAACAGCATCAAGCATGGGAACGAAGATGGGGAAAGCGTTCCGCCAACATGGCCATGGCATTCTCGCACGCGGCCTGTCTTGCGTCTTGCGTCTTGCACAGATTCCCCACCCACACCCACACCCTTACATACCTTACCCCACCCTACCCACTCAACTTGCCTACCAGAAAAACACACACGCTCATACTCTCACATAGACAGCCGTATATACGCATGTATGCACGCACGCACGCACGTCCACATACACAGACATACACACAGACATGTGTAGATCCAAACGGGCGCTCTAAGAAAAAAAACCAACTTCTTTCCTATCTACCACACATGTCCATGCATACATGCATGTATGTATGTATCTGCCCACACACACACACACACACACACCTCTACTACACCGAAATACCAAAAAAAAGAAGAAGAATCAAATCGAGGGAAAGAAAAAAAAAGCTCTTCGACTCACACACACACACTAACAAAACAGCCCAGGACCAAAAACTTGTGCGTGCAGCAGCAGCAGCAGCAGCAGCCGAACTAACCCAGACCCCCCACAATTCTGAAACAAGCTACAAGATGCAAGCTAAGCTGCTAATTACAGTAAGTAAGTATGTTAGCCCATGCCCATGTATGTGCATATGCATACATAAGCCGAACCCCCCTCTCTAAAAAAAGAAAACGCAAACTAAAAACGCGGGAAAAAAAATTGAAAAAAAAAGGCCCATATGCCCGCCATCTTACTTGCTGCTACTACTACTAATACTACTGCTGCATAACCATCGGTATTATGCGGGCACTAGGAAGTAAGTAAGTAAGAAAGTAAGTAAGTAAGAAAGTAAGTAAGTAAGAAAGTAAAGTAAAGTAAACAACATGTACATGTATGGTGCACAGACTAGTAGTATTAGTTGGTATTGGTTGGCATTGGAGGGATGGCAAGTAAGTAAGTAAGCACGGCTCCATCCGCACCCCCCCCATGCGTAAAGTAAGAAAGAAAATAAAGACAAAGCTCGGAAACATGGACTTTTGTTGCTAGTCTAGTGAAGTATATGTATATATTTAGCAAGAGAGATGGAAAAGACAGTTTACATGCAAGTTTTGATTACAGAGTATGTATTATACTACCACTACACACACACACACACACACACACAAACCTACAATCATATCCATCCATCCATCCATACATACATACATACATACACACATAGATGAATAGATACATAGAACCAATACACCCAAGAAGCCACCCGCGCATCTACACATACACATACACATACACATACACATACACATACACATACACGAGGACAAACCCGCTAGAACAAAAAAAACCACCACCCATACAATCCGGCCGAGAAAGCGCAAAAAAAAAATAATAAGAATAAGAATAAGAATAATATCCATCTAAGTACCGGCGTATACGTACACAAGTCAACCAGCCAGCCAGCCAGCCAAGCCAAGCCAGCCAAGCCAGCCAAGCCAAGGCCGAGTTAATTACATACTTTAGACCCAAGGACTTAGCTTGAGGTCTTAGTCTGCAAAAAAAAATAAAAAAAATAAGGGCCCTTAGTTCCATGTAAGTAAGTAAGTAAGTAAGTAATTTATATCACCCTCGTGTAATGTAATATATAACCGCCACCGCCACCGCCGCCGCCGCCGAACCCGCGCTAGTGATTGCGCGGCTAGTTAGTAGGGTCATGGGATAACTACGTAGGTTTGTTCTGCGAGAGAATCGTTGCTCGGTAGGGTATGTGCGTGCGTGCGTGCGTGCGTGCGTGTGTCTGTGTGTGGCTTGTTTACATGTACAGTACAGTACATACTTCGGCAGCCATGTCATGTACATGTACGTATGCATGGATCACCTGTTTTGTTTTTGTTTTGATTTCAACACTTAAAACCCTTCTTTTATACCTCCATTCCATGTACCTCATCGTAATGTACCTTTGATCGTATGTTTCATGGGGGGGGGGCAGGGAAAACCAGAACATGTGACCTTTGGGATTTGTTGTTCCTTTTTTTGTTTTTGGTTTGTTTGGCGCCATGCCTAGTGTGGTGTCGTGAGATGTGAATATCGGGAGATTCTGACAGAAACTTGTTGGGCTTGTTGAACCTAGTGTTGAGGCCCTTTTGTTTGTACATGGGTTGTGTGGTTTTTGTTGGACGACGATAACACCGACGGTTTGCTAAAGTAGATTTACTACCACTTGTCGCCGAGGTGTGCACTGTAATACCGCGTTACTCATACACCAACACATGGCTTCTCCAAGACCCCAAGTGCACACATAGTTTGGTTGGAAAGCGTATCAAACAATAGTCTGTATACGTCGTAAGAGACTAGTGCAATCCTTATTTTCCGGGGCCAAGATCCCAGACGGTGTGATCTGCCACGGCTCTTCAGCAAATGCACATGATCGGAGCAAAAGACCTGGGGGAAAAAAAGGAATAAGATAAAGCTCGCAACCATGATAGGATACACGCAAAACAATAGTTTGGAATAATTCAAGAAAACTTGCCTGCCGAGAAAAAGCAACAGGATGCTCTCGCTTCCCCACGGGAAAGAAGACGCAAGGCGTCTCTCCTCACACGACACTACCTCATGACTTCCGGAATAGGCTGTGTCGACTAGTCGGGCCGCTTCGAGCTAAAACGAGACGCTACAAGGCCGTTACTTTGGATTGTACTTGTCTTTCCAGATCCTATTGGGGCACACTAGTCAGCACATGGTCATCCTCACTAATCCCACTTGTCCGGCGATGCATGTAGAGACATGGTCCAGCCCCGAGGGTAGAGGCGCGGCAGGTGGCAACAACGGACGGGATGCCGAAGCTACTGCAGCCTAGCAAGGCCAGGATCCAGATGGAGGTCAAGAGGGTCGCCGTCGTTGTCGTTGTCGTCGTCGTTGTCGTCGCCGTCGTCCATCCCGAGGCTGCCGGCATTGTCGCGATAGCCGTCGTAGCACGTCTCCCCCCGTTGCTCTTTCAGCAGCAGCACCGCGCCCGCACGGCCGCGACAGCAACGTCTACTACTGTCGCGCCATTATGCATCCCAATCTCCAGCCTGCCATGATTGCTGCAATCATCTGACGGGTGCTCCACACACACTTTGACGTGCTGAACGCCGTCATCGGCTACACCCTCCCACGCTCCCGCTTATGCTTACTCCGGAACCGAGGCCAGCGACACGCTGCCACGTGTAGCGCCGTCGACAGGCGTGTGTGCACCATGCACCCAGTGCACTGGGTGTGGAGGCATGCGGCGTCCACTTCGGACATGGGAGAGTCATGGCTGCACCAAACGGGTAGCGTCGTACCGATGAACAATTTTTCTGCTTTGCGGATGCGATCATGTGTGCGTAGCGGGGAACGGGCAGAAGGCGTGACAGGTCGTGCTGCGGGTGAGGGCGAGGGCCGTTCAGCGTCTGCATCGACTAAGCGAGGGGACTGTCAAAACCGAGCGTCCATGGCCAATCGACTCGGCTTGGCGGCGACGAGCTCAAACTGCCTGGCCGAAACCGTCCATAGTGCCGTGGGTTGCATTGTTGGATCGTGGCTGGCTGTTCCAGTGGCTTGGTGTTGAGCAAGATGGACAATGCAACATCGGCTGCGACGGCGTCGCCCGAGTCAATGCCATGGCTGCTCGTCGTGGTGTCTCGCATGGCTGCTCCTCGGACGCCCGCAATGGATCCTCTGGGCCGTGCAAACAGTGACGAAAGTGGTCCGACTTACCATGAATTGCCTAACGTCTTGTTGCCCTTGGACTCTGCGAGGCGCAGGAATTGAGCCGCCTTGAACTGGAGACGAGGCGCAGTCAGCATACATCCGCATCAGCCGAACACCTACTGCTGCCCAAACAGTGAGGCGGGACAAAGGGGGACGCCGTGTCTCAGTCGACATGGCGCATGATGGCCGTGGTCGAGGCTGTACAGCTTCCACGCTGACGCCTGGCTTCGCCATTGCACCGTAACGTCTAGACCACTCGCCATGGACCGGTCAAGCAGACATGCGACTGTGATCAAACCGCGGCCGCATGCTTGGAGGCTTGCTTACCTTGTCCTTCTTCGTGCCGAAGCCCTCGATATAGCACCAGGCTACTTCGTTCATCGCATCCGTATCGCCCAGGTTGGCAGCCGTCTCGTAATATTGCTTCGCAGCCGAGGGGTCTTTTTTGATACCCCAGCCATTGCGGAAGCAGTTGGCCAACTCATACATGGCCAGCACAAGCTCGCCTTTGGCGGCACCACCCTTCTTCATGCCGGCACCAAGGGCTAGCTTCTCAACCTCAGCACTGTTGGATGCTGCCATGGACAAGTAGTACACGGCTTGTTCTTGATTCGATTCACAACCCCAGCCATGGCTAATGCATGTTAGTAATGTATCAGGCCGAATTCAGGGCAGCTTTGCGAGAGAGGTTGATTGGGAATATCAGATTTACACTTGGGCAAGGGGAGAGAGCGGGCTTACCGCAAGGCCAGGCCGTAGAGCACCTGCGCCAGAGCATTATTCGGGCCCGTGGGCTCAGCAAGCCTGCCGAACAGGGAAGTTGATGCTTCAAGATCTTGCATGTCTTGTCAGCTTCATTGCAAAGAAAAAAAAACTCGGCTTGTGCGACTACTCACCTCCATCCTCATGTAGCCGGATAGCCTTCTGTATGGTCTCCTATGCCACGCTTAGACCAACTCTTGTCCTCCTCGTAGTTATGCGTACCTCGTCAGCCGGAGCACCAACCGTTGCACTGCAACTTCTAGGGCTCGGTGATGGCCCTTGTGACGTTGGGCTCATAGGCTCGTGGCGTGGCGTCGTGGGCTGGCTAGAGGCATGTTGCAGGCCTGCTGTAACCAGCACCGTAGCCCTTTTTTCCCACCTGGCCTCTTCCTCCTCTGTTCGTGCCACCCCGTCGCCCCCCACTTCTGGAAGATTGTCCGGCACATTTGCTGAGCTCCTCGAACTGCTGCGCTTGAACTGGAATATATCGCCTCGCTTCTCACGAGGCTGCTCGCCGCCCGACGTGGACCCCTGCGACGAAGCATTGCTACGGCTTCGAAATCTACCGAATTTGCCTCGCGGCTCCGGAGACAAGAGTGGGCTCTCGTGCGCAGGGTCGCCGGGAAAGCTGGGGGGCTCGATCGTCTCTCGCGACGTTGTCGTGGTGCGCACAAACTGGAACGAGGGCACATTGGGAGAAAGCGTGGCGCCGGTGGGAGACGTGGGCGTGGTGGCCTCGTCCCGTATCTTGTCCTTCTTTTTCAACAAGTCTTTAAGCGTCATTTTGGTGCGCAACGGGGCTTGGGCGTTGAGCTCTGCGTTGCCAGCGTAGGCACAAAGGGGTTACGCGGCAGGAGCCCTAAGGTGTTGGAGAGTAACTTGGCCAAACGTGGAACGCGCGCGCGCTGCTTGGACGCTATTCAATCTCGAGGGTCGTCTTATATCTTCGCAGAGTCATCCTAAATGTGGCAGAGCTCATGGTCCTGGCTGTCGAATGCTACGGCAGGCTCGTTTGACGGTACGACAGAGGCCAAGCGTAGTTCCAGCCCGTCTCAGCCTCCACCGCGTGTTGCCCCTGTCAGATCCAATGGGGCTACTCTACGCGCCGGGCGTTGGTGCCTACCACCCAATTTGCTTCGGAGCGGGCCCAGCATATTACATATTTTGCTTCTATATATGTATGCAAGTAATCACAGCATTCGTAGCATTCACGGCACTTCACAGCGAGGCCTGGGGCTCTCTTTTTTTTTTTACAAATTTCAATTGTTTTTTCTCATTACATGCGTTTTTCTTCTTCTTTTTTCGGTCTCTTTCGCATATGCACATACAGTATCATGGAGAGTAGAACCCTACCAAGCAGCAAGCCAACACCGACTTTGACATGTTCTGCGTAGGATAAACTACGCATGTACATTCGCCTGCGGTTGTGCCGTATGCTTGCAATGTTGATGGGGCAGCAGCCCGGAATAGAAACAACGAAATGACAGAAGTAGGAAATTGCAAGAAGGGGTATCACTGAAAAGAACCCTGAACGCCATGGCCGTAGAAGCACTGGACCTTCAACAGTCAAGATAAGCTAAAAGGCAACCAGGTCGAGAACCTAATAGGTTAGGAGGCTTGTAGACATTGCAACTTGAAATAAGAAAATTAGGCGGAACTATGACGAGAAATGAGTAGGGAGAAACATACCAGTGTCCGGAAATCACCAGACCAGCCGGTGGCCTGGCAATGCTCACTGGTCCACATCGAAGGGAACAAAATCTGCCTGCTGGGTAAACTGATGAGGTTTCTGGTCATCACCAATCCTTGGCATGATGCGCTCCGGGTTATCCTCGGTGGTATCCATCTTGTCCTCGGGCGCACGGGAACGGTCAGCCTGGTTGGACGAAGGAGAGCGTACGGGTGAAGAGGGACGAGTCGTCTTTCTCATTCGAGAGGCGCGGTGGACGTGGCCCAGACGACAGTCGTTGCCGTAGCGACAAGTACCCGTGTTGGCAAAACCGGGACACTCATGTGCATGTAGCTCGGCGCATCTATCTCCCTTACCACAGTAGCCCAAGGTTCCAAATGCTTCGCAGTTGGGCGCAGTGGGATTGATGCGAACATGAGCGAAGCGGCAATCGTCGTTGTTGCATCGGCCAGCCTGGAAATGGAGGCAAGTAGGCGCGTTGTGGGGTGAGGCATCGTGCGACAAAGAGCACAAATCCCCCATGGTACAAGAATCCTTGTAGAACCAGCGCTTGCACACAGCCTGCTTGTCCGGATCGTGCAGGTAAGGACAGCCGTGGCGGGGACAGACGCCTGTAAACGGGTTAGAAGCGCACCACAATAAAAGGACATGTCGAAAGTGTCGTTGCGTTGAAATACCTGTGGAAGTGAACGTGCGGCAGAGTTTCTTAAGCTCGGTTTGGGGGCGCTCGCTCATCATCGCGGTCTTGTTGAGTAGCTGCTTCGGCAGGCCCTCGGTGTCGCTCCCCTCGCGAGACTCGTTCGGAGTCTCGGTGGGGGTGAAGGTGGCCGAGTTGTGCGTGAACTTGTGTGTATTGTGCGAGCGGTGATACGGATGGTAAGAGCCGCGATCAGGACCATGGCTGTAGCCGCCGCGCTTCCGATAAGATGCGTTGTAGTAGTTGCCGGCAGCACTGCGAAAGCCGGGGCTGGGATAACCTTTGGACTGTGCGTTTTCGCGCTCCTCTTTCTCTTTCTTGAGGCGCGCAATATAGCCTGACATGACACCGTCAACATGTTGCGCTTAACGCCTCTTCTTCCACCTACTCTTGAGCTCCGCGAATGCGCGTATGCGTTCTTCCGGTGAGGTCATCGCAGCGATCTGCTCCTGCGAGTACGGAGGCGGGCCCGGCGACGCCATGCTGCTGTCTGCTGATCTGGAAATCTGTGACTGGATGCTCTCTGTTAGTAATGCGCTATACACAGTGCAGTCCCGCCGTGTTGTCGTCGCAAGTTCTCGTCGAGTGTGACTGCGAGGCGAGAGGATGGTTTGGCAAAGGAGGCGGCGGGGCAACAAAGAAAGTGTTAAGTCCAAGGTGAGGCAGCATCGTTACTTGGCAGGGTCCACGTCACGTGGCGGTTTCATCGTACCAGAGTGACGTACAGTGAATCCTTTGTTCACAAATCAGCCGGTGATGGTGACAACCCAGGTGTGAATTCGAGTCAAGATTGGCTGCAGACATGTCCTCATGCCAAGCACGAGAGACATGAAGGACACTAAAGTGTCTTGGTATAGAATAATTCAAATCTAGTAACGCCTACATTCAGGGAGAGCGTGCTGCCCTGCTCCATAACGCCGTAACAATGCTGTGACCCTGGACGCCATTGCAATGTCACGCAATTCCCTCATGAACCAATACCGAATGCTTGTGCCGCGCTGCCGGCGCAAGCTTACAACAATAATACCCTACATATTACTCATCCGCCTCCTCGTTTAGCTGCTTACGCTTGATAGCGAGATCCGCCTTTTGCTTGTCGATTTGCGTCTGTACACGCTTCTTGAAGAGGACGTTGGTCTGTCTGTCGCGCTGCTCGGTACTCTGAACGATGGCCTTTTCCAGCTCTGCGATTTCGGCTCTGAGCTGTTCTTGACGCTGCTCCTCCGCCGCCGCAGCTTCATCGACTTCGTCGCCATCGTCAGAGTCGGCGTCGTCATCGTCATCGTCATCGTCAGCAGAAGTGGCTGCCGCTGGCGTAGAAGCCGCAGTCTCGGGCTCAATGTGGCCACTATGACCGAGAGCGTGCATAGCGACGTCATGAGCAGTGGTGGGAGTGCCAACCTGTTCGACTTCGACGTTGCTCGAGTTGGCAAGCAATGCATTCAGTTGCTCATTGTCGCCTGTGAACTCGACTTCATCGTCCATGAGTCCTTGGGCAAGCATCTGCTCGAGATCGTTGGCGTCCATCTCTTCGGCCTGCTCAACGTCGACCATTTCCTCGTCGGCCTCTTCTTCCGAGCTGGACTCTTCCTCCGAGCTCTCTGCATCGCTTTCCACCATCTCGTACTTTGCGGACACTGCGTTGGCGTCTTCGTTTAGTAGCCGGTTCAATTCTGCTTCGGCTCGCTCTACATCAATGTATGATTTGCGAGGGCGAAACCTCCGTTTGCGAGCCCATTTCATGGGTGGTGTCAGACCGTGGGGGTATCGATGTGTATCTGGCGAGATGTAGGATGGTAAAGGATACTTTTTCGCCTCTTCCTCGTTCTTAACTTCGTCCAAGACCAAGAGCATCTGGCACACGTCGGCTGTTTTTACCCAGTCCTTCTTGTTCCAACTCTTCAGAGACTCAATAACGGCAGGAAGCTCAACCATGGTTGCTGCATACATGCGGCTCTGTATGGTGAGCATGGCGCGGCGGCCCTCGCGGTCAAAGAATCGGAAGTGCACGCCGGGGCCTCCTTGTGACATGCTCTTGCCGATGGTCTTTTCTTCGATAGACTTGCGCAGTAAGTCGCAGTCTGGTCCAGGCTTCATCCGCAACACAAACTGAGACTCGATGGCCGGGTCGACTTCCGCCTCCTCTGCCTCACTGTCATAGCCAACACCGTACGGTCTCACTGGCGGCTTTCCTGCGCCCTTGACCTTGAGGATTGCTGTACTTCGTCCTGGAATAGCCGTGTTCATACTGCCCTTTGGCTTGATGGACAGCTTGATCGACTGAGTGCGATTGTGTGCTTTGAGTAGAGGCGGCGGCTGCTCGACTGCGGTAAGATTGTCGTCTTCGTCGGTATCGTTGGCCATGGCGAGGCTCTTTGCAGTGGGCTTTGGCTTGCGCTTAGCGGCCGGTGAGTCGAAATCTTCGCCCTCGTCGCGCGCCCGCTTCTTAGGCCCGAGCAGCTTTCCTGGGGGAATGACATTGCCGCTCTCGTCGACTTTGGGCTTCTTGGTGTACTTGCGCTTAACTTTGTTCACGTCGCCAGTCTGTCCGTCGGCGGGCTCGCTAGGGGCAGCCACGGCGGGTTTGAATTTGAGCTTCAGGCCGGGCTTTGGCGCAGGCGGTGCGGACGCGTCGGATGGGGGAGGGCCTGCGGGCGCATCGCTAGGAGGGGCGTCGGGGTTCTTGAGTTTGAGCTTCATCTTGGGCGGCGGCGCGGACTATCTGGACGGGGCTTATGACGGGAACCGAGCCTGCGCCTGCGGGCGCGACATTTGCAAGAATGTGCAACTGTGTGCAGGCTGGGCATGGGTCGACGGGCGATGGTGGTGATGCATCCAGGGCCGTCTTGGCGCGCGCAACGATGAAAGGCCAAAGCTTCCAAACCGCGTACCTTCACTTTATCCAACGCCCACTCTCCACTCAGCCAGACCACGATGCGCCTGCTGTTCCCACCATAACAGCGCCTCGCAACCGGACCTCTGCATCTACCCATCCCCTACACACGTGCAAGCATGTCCCAAAACGATCTCTTCCTCAGTCTGCTGCGGCCCGCCGTCCTCCACATTCTGCGCGCGACCGGCTTCCAACATGGCAAACCCTCGGCCGTCGATACCATTGTAGACCTCACGGCGCGATACCTGTCCGTCTTGGCTGAGCGCACAGCCTACAATGCCTTTTCGAATCACAACGACCTCACACCAACCATTACCGACGTGCGCATGGCCATGCAAGATTGCGCGCTGCTCGTGCCGACCATGACGGCGGGAGAGGAGTTATGGAAGGAGATACTGCGGAAGCCGCTCGACGAATACAATTCCGAGACGGGCGCACGCCAAAACGAAGCGGCGCGGCGCGATGCCGAAGATACCGCAGATGTCACGGAATTCATTGAATGGGTCAAGGGGGAGCAGAACAAGGAGATTCGGCGCATCGCAGGCACATACAAGCCGGTCCCGACGAATCCCACTGAGCAGCTTGACCAGGAGGAAATGGAGGATTATCTCAACAGTACGTCCAGGGTTTGTGTAATACCGGTGGAAATGCTAATTGCGTCGCAGCCCTCATGAAGAAGCACAGCAAAACTGGAGTCGAATCGCGCTTTCAAGGAACAGTCTTGGGAGTACCAGCCGAGGCAAAAGCGATCAAGATTGAAGGAGGCGCCGCCGACTCGATAGAAGAATGGTGTCGCAAAACCCGCGAACGGGCAGCAAAGGCAGCGGAATCAAAACAGGAGACCCGCGAACCCCTGAATCACGTCGATACAAGAGAGCCTTCGGAAGACGTACTCATGGAGATGGATTAATGGTCATCAGTTGATTGTGCAAGCATAGCGAAGGCGTTGGGTCACATCATTTTCAGGCGTTATGGAATCGAGGGTTTAAAGCAGATGAGCGCGTTCATGGCATTGCCATGTTATCCCCATCAGACACGTTGGAATGGATTTCTTGAGTAAGTGCTCTGCACGGCACAGTGCTCATTTTGCACTACCAATCATCAAGTACATGCAATTGATATAGCAAAGAGAGACAGAAATACTAGCCATTATTATTATTGTTCCATTAGAGTCTAGTGAGCTCGAGGCTATGTAAGACTTTGGCCGAGGCCGTTCTAACTAGATTTATTTACAAATACGAGTTTGTGCTTGAAGTGTGTCTGTGGTGCTTCGGCCTTTGTCTAGGTAAGCGATAGCTATCGCTTACTAGACGCCTAGTGCTAAAGAGCATTTTGATAACAGAAAGAGATGTTAGAAAGCAAAGCAATCCTCTAGCGGGCTCTTTAGGGATAAAAGAAAAAGTTTCGACTTAGGTAGTTTAATGAGTAACTCTCTCGTTCATTTTTAATGAGTCTTCATCTCAAGTTTTAGTGAGGTAACTCTC